CTACATCGTGTCCAGGAACAAGGCTCCCAATGCGCTGTGACCATCTTGCATGAAGGGTTATTAAATCATTTCCATTATTTGTCAGCACTTCATACTGCTCCATTTCTGTGGGCAAAGTTTACACAGATGCCAAAAATCACCCTGGAAAAGCCACCGCCCTGGGCCCCTGGGCCACTGAAGCCAGGGGCTCTGCACGGTCGCAAGTCACAAACCAAACCATCAGACGTTGCTGCGAGGAGTCCCTCTCAAAGAGGACCAGGAATGCCAATAAGTAAGACAAAGTGGCACGGCGCCTGCAGGGTTAATTACGCAGTTCAAGATGTAATAGCCGCACAAAAGAAAACCCTTTTCTCTTCTTCTGTAAGAACTATAAACACTTGTGCTGAACCAGACGTGCATTTGATAAGCTGAGCAGAACGGAGCACACTCGTGGGTCCCTAGTTAACACCCAGATTCAGCGTTAACACTTAATGCAACAGTGCTGACTCCTGTTGCCAAGGTCAACAGCACAGATGCACTAATTGTATTATGAGCTTGACATCTAGTGGCCACCCCGGGCAGGGCAGGGCAGGCAAAGGTTAAGTCAGCAAGCTCCTCACCGCACCAACTGCCCACCTTCAGGGAGAGCGCCTGGAAGCTGCCAACACGGCGACCCACCTGCTCATGGAACCCAGACAGCAAGGCTGGATGCGGCGCTGGCCCGAGGGCTTTCTGGGAACGCAGTGGGGGTTGGGATCCTAGATGGTAAGCGTTAACTAATTTGGGGGTGAATGGAAAAGACAGGCCCACGGAGGGCAGGATTCAGACACCACGCCGCGTCATCAGGTCTTGGTGGACAACGATTCAGCCGCGAGAATGCTTCCCTTTAATTGACAGGCAAATCCACCTTCGTTTCTAACATAAATAGAGCCCATTACATTATTTTATTATTTCCATTAATGTTGCACGCTTTCTGTAACATGACTTGCCTTATTACTTTGCTTGGAAATCACAGCCAACTACATTTTAAATCATAAAGGTGTTCAAATTATAAGAGAAAAACCTGAGGACAGGACTTTTTAATATGTGGTTTATTTAAAGTAATACTGAAACATTTGGCTTTTTAGATAGATTTTATTTATGCCTGATTTTTATATGAAATGTGTAGCAAGGTAACATGTTACACATGTTAGGATGTCAAACATGTCCCACCAGAAGTAGAATTAGCTCTCATCTTCATGAGACAAGTCTAAGATACGGTGGTCTTATTCCAGCAACTAGTCAAGAAACGTAGGAACTAAAAAATGACAAAATAAAAAAACCTTCCCTGTTTTAAATATTACTCAAATACCATCCTCAAAACTCTCTTGCAGCATTAAAAGAGGCTGCACACCTCACTAGCAGCTGAAAATATTGTTGTTTTCCTTAAATATAGATCCGGTGCTAATACCTTATACTTCAGAATGCTGAATTCCACCTGAGGTTCAGTACCCAGAACTCAAACTGCTGAATTCCCCCCAAAAGGAAATGCTCTTAGAGCTACCTTGAGATGAATGACAAAGCCTGTTAGAGACTGCAGTGGAAAATGAAATCTGACCCACTTTGGCCCGCTTTTGCCATCATCTTGTATACAAAAAATAATCAGCTTGCTAAGTAATTCCTGCTGTTGGTCCCTACCTTCTTCTTTCTCTAGCTCTGAGCAGATCTGAAAATACTGGATCATGCATATGCAGTGGGAGTTTAAAATGTACATAAAAATACCGTTACATAATCAGCTCCTTCTCTGTAAGGTGGGAATTAACCGTCATGCTTTTTGTCGACCACCCAATCATACATTTTTAAATAGGTGAAGTTTTTTAAATGTCACTTTTAAAATAAATGTTTGCAGATTCTTCTTTTTCCTTTTTTCCCCCCTTACTTAAGTTACCTACTTTTCACCTTTCTTGTTTCAGAGAAAACAATCTGCCAGCTAATGTTAGAAAGTGGCTTCTGCATTGTTTCCTTTTGGAATGCTGAATTGTAAATGTGTGGTGTGTGTGTGTGCTGGGGGAGTACTCAAGGCAAACCATGCATAGACAGATAAAAGAGAAAAGCTCTTCACTGAGGGCTGGTGGCCTTCTTCCCCTTAATTTAAACACAGACAGTCTGTGAATACCACTGCTAAATTCTTAAATCACATGCTCACCACATTTAAAAGGATTTTTAAGATAGCCATAGGACTGTGAAGTTGGCAGAAAATAAAAACACACTTTGAAGCAATTAGCACTAACAGTGCAGGATGGCAAATTGTTTTAGATTACAATATTGTTTTCTTCTTCCTTAAATACATACTTCTTTTCTAAGGACAGTAAAAATGCATCTTTCTTAAGCGTATTTTATAGGGTGAAGGACAGCAGCATTACACCTTTAAAGTTCTTAGAGTACGAGTGTTGTTCTGGCATTAGAAGTTTTAATTTTTTCTTAGAACAAAAATATTCAGCTGGCTCAAGGGATTTCATTACTGGTGACATATTTAACTGAGTCATAAAGCCGCATCACATTTATTTCTGAATTTTCAGAAATAGGAGTGAAATAATTTGCAGTTTTAAAAGATAATTTCTAGCGGGAATGTCACAGTCATCCTTAAAATACATTTCCACAACAGGAATAACTTCAGAACTTTACGTAAATCATTATAATTTTCATCCTAGACACACCATCATATTTCATTCCTGCAAGGATAAGGTTTTGGTAGCAGTGAAGCAATTTTTGGATAGCTATCTTTTTATGGCTTGCCTAAAAACCAACCCTGAAAAATAAGTCATATTTCTTTTTAAGGAAACAGTCTTTTTACTGTAAGTCAACATGACTGTGCATCTTTGACTCTACCATATTTTGCTAAAAATTTTGTGTATTTTGTTTTTCTTGGCATTCTCGACAGCCTTCAATTTTACTCTGTGCAGCTGCATTAATTAATGTCATACCCAAAGTGATACAAAGGAATTATTTACTTCATTCCTAAAACACAGTAAACTTAGCTCACTTATACCTTCATGCATGAGGCTGTTTATTTGCATTGCATCTAACAAAATTTAAATGTTGGGACTATCTGATTCATGTTGTAGTAATTTAGTTTTCACAACCATTTATCTTTAAAAAATATTTTACTTTGTTGTCTTACTAATGATCAGTAGACCCAGTAACATACACATGAGCATTCCCTGGGTGAACAGACAACACTATCTTTTATGTTCCAAGAACAATCAGCTTCAGAATAATTAAATCAGAAAGAACTATTTTTTAAAATAGTTTGCCTAAACTATCCTTAACACAGGCTGAGGAAACAGAAACACAGCACTTCACTAAGGCTCAGCCCCAGACAGACTATTTTTGGCCTGTTGCAAAATATGATCAGGAACCGTGGCAATATCTTGATTACAACTTGGAATGAATCTGAAAAAACACAGGCTTGACAAAAACTTTAATCCTCCGTGGGGTAAAAAAACCTAACTATGTTTCACCTCTAAACAAATTCAGTAACAACAAGGAGAATTCAAAAGGGAACTCGTAAATAATTTACTCCATCCTAGGTTTTCAAATACAGGCGATACACCCCTCAACATGCTCACCACGCTCACATTTCTGAAGTGAAATTAAAAATGAATAGCAGTGCCTCAGCTTGTTAATTGTTAAATACAAGGGGTTTTACTCTAGTAATTAAAATATGCTTTAATAAAGGGAGACATTGCACATTTTGATAACGACCCTACAAAGCTGAGAAGTATTTACATTGTTGCATTTTGGGGAGGCTGTGAAAGCCGATTTTAAGCTATTCAGGAGCCACAATAATGCAGCTTTAAAATTCCTCACTGGGATGCAATGTAGTTCTTTTGAAGGGAAGACTGTCTTTCTCATTCGGCAGAAATAAACCCATTCATTTGATCATGTAGTCATTGAGGGCAATACAAAACAAACCAAGTGTGAGAAATTCTATGTGATGAAGTAAACAAAACAAAAAAATCCATTTCCATGACAAAAAGATTCTTTGTCCTTAATCTACCCACCATATGCAAGCGTTTCTTTTTTGCGTATCTCCTGTTCTAATCTTGGGCGACCGGACTCCGCACAGAGGACCTCTATACCTCCGCGGCGACAAAAGGCCCAGCGAGCTCACGATTTTAATTCACTAATTCCTGCGGGTCCCAAGCATTTCCCGCTTTCTGCGCGCCGACGCGACTGCGGACCTGCCCCGTCAAACTTTTCGGCACCCGGGGAAAAGCTCCAAACTTCCCGGTTCCGCAGGAAAACGCCGAGGCGCCTCCGCACGGCCCACGCGGCACCCGGGGCCGCCGGCCGCGCGCTCAGGGACCCTCGGCGCCCCGGGACCCGGCCACAGGCGCCCCGCCCGCGGACCCCGAGGAGCCGCCGCGCGCCGGGCCGGGGGCCCAGGACAGCGGCCGCCGTGCGCGGCCACCCCCGGGCGAGTCCCGGGGCGGCCACGAGGAAGGCCGGCGACGCGGGTTTCCCGCCGCCCCGGAACGGCGTCACCGGCCGGCCAGCGCGTCGGGACCTCGCGGCTCGCCGGACGCCCCTCCGTCCGGGGCGGGGGGCGGGCCGGGGTCACTGCCCGGGGCGCCGGGCGCCGAACAAAGCTGCCGGGCGGCGGCCTCCCCGGACGCGTGCCCGCCGCTGCGCCCTCCCGGGGCTCGCCGAGGCCGGTCCGGCGTCCGGGCGCAGGGAGCCCGGGGGGCGGCGCGGAGGCGGCGGCGCGGACCCTCCCGCCACGCCCGCGCGCCGGCCCCATCGGGCTCCGTGCCGCCTCGGGCCGCGGCGCCGACCCCGGCGCGCAGCTCCCCAACTCCAGCCGCCGAGCCAAGTTTACTTGCCGGCAACTCTCCGCGCCGCGCGCTCGGCGGAGGCACCGGACCCGCGCCAGCCTGTCGGGGCCCGCGGCTCGCGGTCGACCTGGCGCGGGTGGGGGGGGTGCCCGGCCGCCTCCCGCCCGCGCTCCCCGACCCGCCACCCGGGTCCGCACCCCTCACCGTGCTCGGGGGCCCCGTCCGGCGGCGGCAGCTCCTCGTCCGACTTGAGGTGCTGGGGCTTGGCCTGCTTGCGCCGAGACATGCTGCTAGCGGCGCGCGGGCCCCGCGCGGGGCAGCGGCATCAGCGGGGCGGCCGGCGGGCGGGCGCGGGGCGCGGGGCGCGGGCGGCGGCGGCTGCGCGGGCCGCGCATGGGGCCGAGCAATTAGGCTGGTGAATAATGCA